GTGAACGGATATCATTTAATACTGCTTGGAGAGAAGTTGAATAACAAGGATCATAAGGTTCGTGAAGGAGTCTTACCGTTTGTGAAGACTCTTACACATCTGTTAAAAGTGGTCGGACTGTGGATGGGAACTACTGATTATATGTGCAACATATCCAGGGACCTGCATATTAACATTGTCAGTGGTTTACCTCAACAAAAAAATGCGTAAGTTTCAATATGGACATTACAAGTTTTCACTTTTCATCAATATTTTATAATTACTTATGGTTTCTCTACGTTAAATATTACATGCACGGTTGTGGTATTTTTTGTTATAAAGGATGCACAGTATTTGTTGCACAATGATCTTGCCAAAATGTCAATGTCATTTAATGTTGTGAATGCCATGCTTGAAATTACAGATTGATGTTCAAAAATAAACAACTAAGGCAGGTTGGAAGGGGAAAATCAATGTCAGATGACTAAACTACTATTGATGGAATTGTTTTTATGATAGATTAGGTTGATAACTGTTCAAAGTTAGACAAAACAGGTGTTTTATGATGTAATCAATAAATAAATGAACTACTGTTGAATGTGAATTCGTCTTTCTCAAGTAGTTGGTACAAAGGAGGTAAAAGTATTGGTCTTTATGTGTATGGTTTTGTTTATAAAATTTAAGTATTTTATGGAGGTAAAAGTTTATATTTGCACAGTCTAAACAGGTTACAAATGATCACAAATGGTCATAATTGGTCACACATAGTTACTGTCTTACATAATTGCATGTTACAAATGGTTACAAATAGAAACAATCGGTCACATATACTTAACATGTATGATTTATACATTTGTCATAAATAGTATACACAGAATTGGTCACATCTAGTCGAAGATGACATTCAGACTTGGTTAAAATACTCAAGTTAATTAACTTTGAATTTTATTCATAGTCGGTAACAGACGACCACAGCCAAACAAAAAACTTATAGCTTGTTACTGCCTTTTGTGTTAAAAATGGTCACAATCATCATAAACAAAGTCACAATCAATGTCTGTTTACACTGCCCTTCCCAGAAACACGTGTGACATCCTGAAATGTAATCTCAGCTCTACACATAAATCCGCCAACTCATATAATTCAAACAATATATAGTTTGGCAATAAAATGAAACATTTTGTAATTACAAAGAATGTCATCGTGTAAAAAATAAAAGTACTATGCTAAGCAAAGCAAAGCAATTTGAATTTCTTTGGATCTTTCTTTACTTTCAATTTGACGTTGTTGTGGTTAAGTGGTTCCATGTTCCTGCATATTCGATGGTCATGATCAGATTCACCACATCTTCCACATTTCACAACTTGTGATCTCTCACAAGCTAGCTTCTTCCTCCTCTCAGTAGGCCTGTCAGAACTTTTCTTTTGGGTTGGAGCAAGTACAACTCTACTATTCACATCTTTCGGCAAACTCCATTCTGATTTATTACCTACATGAAAGACCGTCTCTTTGTAGGAATTCAAATATGCATCTCTTGTGTAATATACGAGCAAAAGTCGTACACATCCAGCTTCAATGTTGCCATCACTGCCAGTGCATGTGGATAGTGAAATTGATTCACTTGAAACATTCTACAACTACATGTATATTGAGTTATAGTAATCATGTACGATGAAGAATTGTCTCCCAGTTCAAACAAAGTGTGACTTGCAAGTGAAATCTGAAAATAAAAAATATTTAAAGTTATACATGTGATCATAATATACATAGTTTGCTATTTTTACCATTAGATTTCTCACATCATTGCTCGTTTCCCTCAACAACTTCTCATATTTGGTTCCAAGCTTAGTGAAAGTGTCATGTGCGTTATTCCTATTCTTACAAAATCAAGATTGGATTGCTTGCCGCAATGATTCTAGAAGTGCTTGAATTGAGTAATTCTTTGCCGAATTCGCTACTGCATTTACAAATTCTACTATATTTGATGTCATTGTAGAGTATCTATTTTTTGGCATGTGCAATCTTGACCATTTTTCATATCCAACATCCATCTAAAAAATAATTTTAGTTATTAGATAATATATTTAAGTATAAGTAACAACATGTCACATACAGTCACGGTTAACTCTAAAAGGTTTACAGATAGCCAGTATTATTACAAAACAGGTGACAGATGATCACATTCATAAAATATATCGTGTTTCAATTGTAAATGAGGCTACATACTAAACATCCACTGATATTTTCATTCATAATCATGTTTCAATTTCATGTAACAATAAATGAAATATAGTTCGTAAATTAAACATGCATGATCATAGATATTCACAGACATTTCATAATATCACAAAACAAGTCACGGAAAGTCATAATATATGTTACAGACAGTCACATACCAAATATCTCCTGATCTCTTCATTCATTGAGTCTAATTACTGCATTTGGAATTCAAATTCATCCATTGTATACGCTCCGACGGCAGAATTGAATGCATGTGTTACATTGTGGCCTGATTTTGCGTAATGAGTCTTCAAATTTTTAAGCAAATGGTATGAACAGATCACGTGCATTGCCTCTGGATATACGAATTCAATGACATTTTTTATGCCGTTGTGTCTATATGATACTATACATAATCCGTCTCTCGTTCCATATGCCCTCTTCAACATCTCAATAAACAATTTCCATGACTTGTCATTTTCATTATCCTCAATCCCAAAACCTAGTATGAAGATGTTATTGTTTGTATCTTGTGCACAAATCGTGAAGAGGGTATCCTCATAGTGGCCATTTAAATATGTGCCATCAACTACAATGACTAGCCTACAATATTTCCAACCAACGATAGATACACCCGAAGCCATAAAATAATATTTAAATCTATTTAAATGATCTGTTTCTATTCTTGTAACTGTCCTTATGTTCATCCGTTCTAACATAAAGAAATAAGAAAGCAACAACTGAAACGATGTTGTTGGATCATCTCTAATCAATTTTAATGTTTGTTCACGTGACCTCCCTTCTTTCACCTAGTTCACTAATACTCCATATTCATGTAACATGTTATTCAAGATATCATCAGGAGTGTATACTGTACGTGAAGAGGTATATTTGTACCTGATGCAGTTTGACACAATTGAGATAGATGCTTACCGATGAGATCCTAAAACAATGTTCATCGAGCATGTGTGACCATTATAAATTTCCTTGATTTTAAACATTTTCGTTTCTCCCAAGCGTGAAGATCTAAATATCCATTTGCAATCATTATGCGAACACTTTACCACATACTCCTTCTTGTCCGATCTCAACACCTTATATTCAAACTTGTTTTGTATAGCATAGAAGTCCAAGCTCATTTTTAGTATGTCCTTGTTGCGAAAAACATTTCCCTCCACTACTACTCTAGCATTTCCTTTGGATACCAATGTCACATCTTCAATTTTTTCTTTGTCAACGGTCACCACTAAGTCACAAATTTCTTGAGTTATTTGTTCTAAAGAAAACACACTAGCTGATGACTCGACAGAAGTAGTCGACGACTTTGGACATTGCAATGTATATCTTGACTACCATGAAACTGTAGTGATAACATCAACCATAATAGAATAACTCGGTACAACCCCATCCAGAGATTTTAACCTCAAATACGTTAGAACGTTATTATTACTCAGAATTCAAACGAAGGTAAATTAGAATCCAAAGAATATGTCATTGTCACAGCTACGTTTGCACCATTAGGCCCCAATTATGAAAGAACGAGCTCAACCAATTCATCATACTTGCATGTATCATTCACTAATATAAGTGACGTGTGACCCCTGTACACAGGCAAATGTGCAAAATTGGCATTCTTAATCATAGACAGAAAATCCAATTCCTCTACAGCTGAACTTCAATTTCTCTCGAAAAATGAAAATCAGAAATATATCTATAGAATTGTGACCTCATTCATTGATTGTGTCTTAAAATTGAGGATTAATTGTGATTATACGTTTACCTTCGAATCAGACTGCATGAGTTCAGTTTTTGCTTTGGAAAAATCTGATTCCGCCACAACCAGTTTCAACTTCTCCAAAACAGTAAAAATTAGAAGTATTTCGACTGGATTACAACCTTAGTCATTGATTGTGGCTCGAAATCGAGGATAAACGGTGAATTTGTATGATTTTGGAGATGTTCGGCGAGATAGTTTTATAGAGAGAGAAAGAATCATTTGATTGTGAGAGGATTGTGAGAAAAAACTTTTAAATATAGTATAGTAAGATTTGTAGGAGTTAATTTGGTATAGTATATTTAATCCAAATTTAGTGTATATTATATTATAATTATATATTTAATATTATGATTTAGCACCCGATTTATGAAAATTTTTAGGAAGTGTGTCAATTTTGAAATGCGTTTTTATAATGTAGTAATTATGTAGTGTTCCCTTATAAAAATTGGATCGGACTGATCGGTTCAACCGAAAAATTCGGTCTGATTAAAGTTTAAAATCCACTTAATTCAAAGTGGGTAAAAAATCGTTTAATTGGCCATTTAACCTAGTTATCCGGTGATGCCCATTTTTAATGAAAAATAGGATTCATGTTTAATGAAATGATTTGAGATTTATTTTGACTGAACGCGATTCTTCTTCTAAAGCCACATTTATTTTGAATATCTATAATCTTAAAGTCTAATGGCTCAACATCTATTTGATATTTCACATACCTATTTGTGACATTCTCTCCCAAAAATTGAAAAATAACTAATTAATTATAATTTTTTTAAAATCTATTATTCAAAATCAGCAGTGGGCCGTATCTCGGTTTCATAACCACACGGACAGTCATAAGTCTCTCCCGCTTTTTTCTCTCCCTCTTCCCCATTTTTTATCACATTCTCGTTTAAATCTACACGCGATGTTCTAACACTCTTCTATATGTAAAAATAATGGCGTCAATGCCAATCTGGAGATGATATAGAATTGAAAAAAAAAAGGGAAAAGAAACGGTTGATTTTCGTATAGTTGATTATTCATGGCTACCCTTTCTTATCAATTGTATCTGGGTTTCATAATTACAATTCATTTGGGAATTTTCTTGTTTTTGACATCATCAGTCGCCGCTGCCGGTGGTGATTCATCAGGCTCCGCCTCCGGCAATGCTTCTAGCTCCTGCAGCAACCCCCACATAATGGTACAGTATTCAAAACCCCATTATTCATTATGTCATTGGTTCTATTGTTGTCATTTCATATTTTATTTATCTGAATGTGTAAAGTGGATCGGGGTGTAATATTACAGAGAAATAGATATGTTTTACATAAAAAAAATATAATTATTAATTTGATCATATTACATGGATACACCCTTTCATGTGTTTTCTACCAATAATATTGGTATATTCAATTTCAGAACAATTTTATAGATAATGGGTAAAATTGATTTAGATGTAAAACTTGAACAACATTGATATTTTCATTTAGTCCATGTTTGGTACACATTTTTTCAAAATACATTCTTTCAAAACACATTTTTAACCACACATTTTTTAATAAAATAATATTTTACATTACATCAATAATTTTTCCTTACTTTTTAACCACATATTTCCCATCATATCACTATTTAAAATACATTTTTTCCTTAATAATATCCATCAAACACACGCTTACCCGTTATTATAGAATATGGACTAAATAATCTTATTTTTAGCTGTGGATTTTGGATAACCTTTAATATTAGTATTCTTGTATTCCACATCATAATAGTTTTATATTTTGTGCAACATGTTATGGACATACTTGAAGAGAATTGCCCGTCACAAACCTTGATTTTAATTTGCCGGCCCATCGTACACCACAGACTATACCGAATTGTAACAATATCCCAGTCTATTTTGTAGATATTAACCTTTCTTTTGACCATGTAAGTATTTTAGCAGACTAGAAATAACAACAATAAACTTCCTAATACACTTTTACGGATAAGTAAACTTAAGCTTTTCGAAGTTTGTGAAGGCCTTTATATATATATATATATATATATATATACACACACATGCTAACAAACACAAAATGAGGGAGTGGAATATGCTTAAATGCTTGCATGTTTCTACAAAATAAACACGCTCCTAATGGAATGAAAATTATTGATCTGCCATGCCTACATGGAAGTGGGTTGCCTGACCCTGGCCATTTAAACCTCTAATGTTACTGTAATTTTTGTTGCCTCATCACTACTATGTGATTATCTATAGGTGCAATTTGGAAAATGTGGCTGAATTTAATTGGATTGTTGTAACTCGAGAAACAAAAGGTTAAATACAATAAACTGGAAAACGTCAAAGTTCAAACTGTTCTTTTATTTTGAATTTTAGTGATAGAGATAGTCAAGGTTCTATTAAAACTTCAAGGGAACTAAAAATAAGTGAAAAGATTTACAACAGTATAATAGAAATGAGTTAATCGATGGCTTAATGATTCTATATATTGTTGAGAACTATTTCGAAAATGGAGTGAGATGACTGGAACTTAGCATTCTGATTCTATTGTTTGGAGATGGAAATGAATCCTCATCAAACAAATTTTTATTTTTTGATTTATAATTTGTTAACTGAAGACCTCATATATAAGATAGAGATTCTCTTTTGCATATTGAAAATTAAAATTTTCTTATTCCAAGGCATGTTCATCCTGGAAATATTGGCACGAAGAGAAAAATGGAAAAAAGTCTTGTTAGGAATGTACTGGGAGAGTTTTTTCACTCCTTTTCAGGTTAAGGTCAAGATATGGGTCAATGGAGCTGAGAAGGAACCAGTGGGTGGGTTAAGTGCGGCATTTGGCTCTATTTTTCCCACCCACATTAAAGAAGCCCACAGATTGCCAGCTACATTTTCAAAACCCTTAAATAGCTGTACAGCTTCATCTTCTAAGGTACATTTTCCCTGTTAGTGTCAATATTTTCAATTTAATTGCTAATTTCTCAATGGTCACTGGGAGTTTCATTTTGTGCCTTAAGCATAAAATACTGTTTAATTGTCTCCGAATAAATGGCACAATGTTCCAACTGTTGGTTATTCCCATTGTAAACCTTGAAACTTTATCCTGATCTCACACAAAGAAAACGGTTTGAGGAGCTGATCTTATGGACAGTTTTTATCCATTGCACAACATTGATAGAAGTACTAATGTCTCAATTCGATGTTTTGTCTTAATTCATATAAACGGTTAGAGGTTTGAGGCTCATACTGGCCTCATATGTTATTTATAATTCCATTTATAATATCAAATATCCAAACAAGTTGGAAAGCAAACTAACCCTACAATTTCTAATCAACTAGGAATGAATTAACAGCATGAAGCTCTTGGAATTATGTTTAGCGATTTTTGATGCATTTTCTTCAATTTAACTTATGTCCTGCACGCAGTCGCTTTTACACAAACTATGCCTTCATACTGGTGGCACAAGACCATAGAGCTAATCCCATGGTATAGATTGCAAAAGAAAATAACACACATATTTCACCATGTTCCTCTAATTACTCCTTTCAAAGTGGGAATCTTGGATTCATCTAAAAACAATGCTGCACCCAACGCTATGATGAACTAGGAATAGTGAATGTCTCATCTTTGTAGTTATGTGGACTTATTGAAGACAAAACTTAAATAAATAAACATGTCACTTCTTTAACAACTTAAGTTTTTAAATGAAGTTGTTAAACATAGTAATAGAGTAGCGAATTGTCTCGGTGATGGAAGTAGGGTTGAGACGGAGGAAACAGATAGGGATGACATGGATTCAATGATCAAGGTGTCTCGAGAGAAGGAACCTCGGGGCGAGGTAGGGGAGTCGGGTACTACGATTCTGAACTCGGAGGTGTTGGAAGCGATCAATTGTCCTACAAATAAGGGTGAGCTGGACATGATTCCCTTTGTAAAGGGATCATTGTTGGATCATGAGCGTGAAAACGAAACTGTGGTGGGTAATAGCTCAGCTTTGATTACTGAGAAATAGCAAGGGCAGATAGATTCAACAACTAGGGTGGTGAATACCTATTGTAAGAGAGTTTCTAAGCCTCCTAAGGAAGGGGATTCAGAGAATGATAATGCTTTGGTGGTGTGGGTTGGAGGAGCCGAGAAAGGGGATACATGCGGTGATGTGATTTGGGTGGATGACAAGGAGGGATGCTACTTTGATCCCATGTATCTTGAGGGTATGACGAAGATTAGAAGATCTGACATTAGACCTCGACCGTCGAGTTGGGTCCTTTAAAAAATTGTGGAGTTCAGTAAGATGGTAGGTGTGTCATATGATGGGCACGAACCTAGGCTTGTACAATTATTCGAGGACCTGGAGGTCAATAGGGGACATGGGCTGGGTACATCAGGAGGTAAGACAAGAAGAAAAGGTGATCTTGAACTTAAGCGTCTCGAATGCTCGGTTAATTATGATCTCAAGGGTGGAGAGTCAAGGAGAGGCCAAAAATAATTAGTTGGAATGTGAGGGGGCTTAATGAAGCTGGGAAAAGATTAGGTGTTCGGAATCTATTAAGGGGTTGGGGGGCTGACATTGTATGCCTACAAGAAACAAAGCTGGAGGTCGTTTCGAGGGCTATTGTGTGCAGTCTATGGGGGGCCAGCATGTGGGGTATCAGTTTGTAGGGTCATCAGGGGCTTTAGGAGGAATGTTAGTACTGTGGGACAATAGAGTTTGTGAATTGGAGGAGGTTAGTGAAGAGCTATTTTCTTTATCGCTCGCGTTTAGAAATATTGGAATAGTTTTCGTTGGATGTTTACAGGTGTTTATGGGCCTAATGTTGATGAGAGTAGAGGTGGTTTGTGGGATGAGTTGGCTGGGATGATGAACTGGTGGAACCTCCCAACGTGTATTGGAGGAGATTTTAATGTAGTTCGATATCCCAATGAGAGGTCTAGTGGGGGGAGATTAACAGGGGCCATGGAGGACTTTTCGGACTTTATTAGGGAGAACATGTTAGTGTATTTGCCTTTGATTGTGGGAGATTTTACTTGGTCATTGAATCGAGACCAACCTGTTCTATCCCGAATAGATCGATTTTTGGTGTGTGGGGCGTGGAAGGCTAAGTATCCAGAGATCACACAAAGGAGATTGGGGAGGTTGTATTCTGATCATTTCCCCATTTTACTATCTGGGAACGTAAGGCGCAGTGGAAGAAGACCTTTTAGGTTTGAGAAGATGTGGCTAAAAGTAGAAGGTTTTGAAGAACGAGTACGGAATTGGTGGGCATCCTACGAATTTAGGGGGTCCCCTAGTTATGTATTGGATCGGAAATTGAAGGCATTGAAACATGATCTTAAAAGGTGGAGCGAGGAGGTGGTGGGAGATGTCACCTTTCGCAAAAATCAATGCCTTTCAGATATTGAGGAATTGGATAGGATGGAGGATAATCATGGATTGGAAGGAGATGATAGGGCGAGACGTGGAGAATTAAAGGAAGAGCTGGAGAGGCTGGTGGAGATGGAGGAGATTGTTTGGCGTCAGAAGTCTAGGGTCCAGTGGTTGAAAGAGGGAGACAGGTGCACCCAATTTTTCCATAAGGTAGCTAACTCCAACAGGCGCAACAATTTAATCACTACGTTGGAGGTTGATGGGGTCACTTATGAGGATCCGCATGATATCGGGACCCATATGGTAAGTTTTTATCAGTCCCTGTATAGTGAGCAGTTGGGTTGGGGGCCAGAATTGGAGGGGCTATACTTTTTTACTATTGATGAGGAGGATGCTAGTTGGTTAGAAAGATCGTTTGGGGAGGATGAAATCAGGGATGTGGTGTTCAGCATGAATGGCGATAAGGTTTTAGGACTCGATGGATTCTCTTTCTCATTCTATAAGGGTTGCTGGGAGGTGGTGCGATTAGACATTTTAGATGTCCTTACCTATTTCTTTCAGTGTGGAAGATTCCTACGAAGCGCCAATGCTACATTCATTGTGCTTATTCCCAATAAACCGGGAGCAACAGATATTAAGGACTTTCGTCCTATTAGCTTAGTGAATGGGGTTTACAAGATTATTGCGAAGATTTTGGTGAATAGATTAAAGGAGGTGTTGGGAAATGTGGTGTTTAAATTTCAGAATGCCTTGTGCCAGATTTTGGATTCCGTACTTATAGCAAACGAATGCATTGACTCAAGAATGCGATTGGAGGTTCCAGGAATGTTATGTAAACTCGATATTCAGAAGGCATATGATCACGTTAACTGGGGTTTTGTGTTGTATATGCTCAGGAGATGTGGTTTTGGGGAGAAATGGTGCCGGTGGATTCAGTTTTGTATCTCTACGGTTTCATACTCAGTTATGGTGAATGGCACCCTGGAGGGCTACTTTCGCAGTAGTAGAGGTTTGAGACAAGGGGACCGTCTGTCTCCATTGCTGTTTGTCATTGTTATGAAAGCTTTTAGTAGGATGATTGAGAAGGCGTTAGGCAAAGTTTGATAAGGGGTTTTGTTGTCGAGCAGTTGCAGGTTTCTCATTTGTTATTTGCAGATGATAGCTGATTTTTTGTGATGCGGATGTTGAGCAATTTAGAAACCCGCGTCGCTTACTCCTATGCTTTGAAGTTGTTTCTGGATTGAAAATAAATTTGGGAAAATCTGAGGCTATCACAGTGGGAGATGTTGATAACGTGGAAGAGTTGGCTGAGATTTTGGATTGTAGGGTGGCACAATTGCCTATGTCATATCTCGGGCTTCCTCTAGGTGCACGGTTTAAGAGCACATAGATTTGGAACGGTATTGTGGAAAGGGTGGAAGCGTATGTACCTTTCGAAGGGAGGCCGTCTTACTCTCATAAAGTCCACTTTGTCGTATCTTCTTACTTATTTCTTGTCCTTGTTTCCTATTCCTGTTGCAGTGGCAAAAAGATTAGAGAGGATCCAAAGGGAGTTTCTTTGGGGAGGATTAGGAGAGGAGAGGAAATTGCATTTGGTTAATTGGCATGCGGTTTGTTCTCCTATTAGATTCGGTGGTCTCGGATTGAGAAGTCTTGTACTGTTTAACAAGGCTTTATTGGGTAAGTGGTTGTGGCGATTTGGAGTGGAGAGGGAGAGCTTTTGGAGGATTATTATAGGGGCAAAATATGGTGTTATGGAGGGGGGATGGTGCTCAGGTGAGAGACGTGGTCCTTATGGAGTGAGTTTGTGGCGGTATATTCGGCGAGGGTGGAATGACTTTAGGGATAGGTTGGCATTTGTTGTGGGGAATGGTAGTACAATCAGCTTTTGGGATGACGGTTGGTGTGGAGATCAACCGCTTAAGGTGAGATTTCCTTCTTTGTATCGTATTGCATTGGAGCCGTCTGCCATGGTAAATGATGCATTAGATATTCATAATGGGAGTCCCAGTTGGAACATTGTTTTTGGTCGGGGTTTGCAGGACTGGGAACTGGATGATTATGCGTTGTTTCTGACACAAGTATACGAGGCACATATCAGGGCAGGAGAGGATGATAGTAGCAGGTGGAGATTGACACGAGATGGTATTTTCTCGGTTCGCACCTATTTTAGATCTCTATCGGGAGTTGGAGAGAGTTCATTCCCCTGGAAGATGGTATGGAATTGTAAATTGCCCCCACGAGTGGCATTTTTATTATGGACGGTGGTCAGAGGACAGGTGTTAACGGTGGATAACCTTCGTATTAGGGGTTTTTATGTTACAGAGTGGTGTTATATGTGTAGAAGGGATGGGGAGACGATTGATCACTTATTTCTTCATTGTGATGCTGCTCGTTTGTTATGGAACGATATTTTGGTGTCGCAACATATGGCTTGGGTGATGCCGAGGCGTATGGAGGACATGTTAAAGACATGGAAGAGGAAGCTTCAAAATAAGGAAAGCAAACTTGTTTGGGATCTTATTCCGGGATGCATTGTGTGGTGTATGTGGAGAGAAAGAACTAGACGTTGTTTTGAAGACCAAATACGAACGACAGAGCAGTTTAGGGAGCTGTTTTATTTGACATTGTATACTTGGTTTAATGTCGAGGCTACTAGGCATATAGATGGGTTGCCCGATTTCATGATTTTCCTTTCTGATTTGTATTGATAATACACTGCCTGTGTATTAAGCTTTTATTAATATAATATTTGATTACCTTTAAAAAAAAAAAAAAAATGTCCTTTGGAACCTTTCAAGCTCTTCCATATGGATTTCATAGCTTGTCTTATCAAATATTCATGAATTTTAGAAAGAAATTTAGCATTGTTATTTGAGTTGTCATGGATTCGTCTCTGTTACCAGTGTTGAGATTTTCAAGCACAATGCAAAGATTCTCTTGTATCCTTTGTAGTTATCAGGCTCTTTGCATTAGCTTGATGAGGTGATTGTGATTTCGTAGCTGAGGCTAAAGTTGTTAACTATGTTGAATTTTAGAAAAAAACTTAGAATTGTTATTTGAGTCGTCTCAGATTTGCTCTCTGTTACCAATGTTGAGATTTTTAAGCACAATCCAAAAAGTCTCTTGTATCTTTTGTAGTTATCAGGTTCTTTTGCATTAGCTCAACGTGGTGATTGTGATTTCATAACTAAGGCTAAAGTTGCAGAAGCAGGAGGAGCAGCAGGACTAGTGGTGATAAATGATGGTGAAGGTTGTTATCTTTAGTTATGTTGGCATATAGTGTAAATCTCATAAATACTATGACAGTTGTTTGATATTTAGCTTTGGTTTTTGATTGGTACATCCTTTCCCTGAACTTCTATAGGTCTTTTGGAGATGAATTGTGTTGGGAATGATACTGATCTGAACATTACCATTCCTGTTGTCATGATTTCAAAGTCAGGAGGAGACGAAATAGACAAAGCCATGGATCGTAGGGAGAAAGGTAGGCCTCCTTCATATAATTTGGTTTAACTAGGCTTCCATTTTTATATATATTTGATGTCTGCTGCAGTCTTATGCTCAAGATTTTGCCAGATTTATCGTCTTTCTGCATGGTCTTCTTGCTTCTATGTGGTCTTCGGATATCTTGTTTGAATATTTTCTTTTACAGCTTTTTTGATAAAACTTCAATAAAACTTTATCAACTTTTCAGCAGTATCAAACTTTAATTTTAACCATATATATCATAGGACTCCCAACTTTTATCTAACTTTCCAGTTACATTTCATCAACTTTTATCAAAATCTATTGATTTTTTTTTTTATCAAAAGCTTTGTCAAACGACCCTTTAACATGTTTAAAAACTACTAACATTATGTTTTTCAATGCAGTGGAACTTTTGTTATATTCTCCAGATCGCCCTATTGTTGACTTCTCAGTGACATTCTTGTGGCTAATGTCTGTTGGGACAGTAGTTTGTGCGTCGCTTTGGTCTGAATTTACTGTATCGGATCAAAGTGATGAGCCGTATGATGAACTCTCACCAAAGGTTCCGTGAACAAAATAATTTTTCTTTAGTTTCATATGTTCAAACACTTCCAGATGGGCTTTTCCTGCTGTACATAAAATGATGTCATGTTTTGCTCCATATAATTGCTTTTACTATTTTCACTAGTGATATTGTTTGGCTTTTCATGCTTACAGTAGAGTTCTTTAAATCTGCTAAAACGTTAAAGCAATCGTAGTTCCCAAACTTTTATCAAACGCCAAAGTCATCTTCTTTTTTACTTTATCATTTAATTTTGTTCTCACCAATGAAATATTTGTATACTTGAAAATATTTGCTCTGCTTGTACCTTTACGTTGCAAATATATTTATGCCAGTCTTTCTTTTATAAAACATGATAATTAGAGCTGGCATAATTTCTCAGCCTTTTCTAACCCCTGTTTAAGTCATATCACATCCTTTATGAGCTACAGCTATATACTCATCTTGATGTTGCTTCAAGCTATTGCAACTGACCAAGTTTCTGCCCGTTTGGGATCTATGTTTCTTGTACTGTAACTCATACATGATTCAGAGAAGAGAAACACCACCCCTTGTTGGAGTTTCTTGGGTACATCTTTAGCTATGACACAAACTTTGTAATAAGTCTGCCTTTGATGTCCTTTTAGTTATGAGAGGACAGAAATGAAAGAAAAATCATGAAACTATTTGGTTTCTGCACAGCTTGACAAGATTTAAAAAACAAGCATAATTGACTTCGCCGTTTCCATTGTTAGGTATCATCCAATGCAATAGCTGCGAAGGATGATGAAGAAATCCTGCATATAAGTACAAAAAGTGCTATAGTTTTTGTGATAACAGCATCAACTTTTCTGGTGCTGCTTTACCTATTTATGTCATCTTGGTTTGTCTGGCTGCTTATTGGACTTTTCTGCATCGGTGGTGTTGAGGTAATTATTCACTCCATTTATGTTTGATATCTGTTTTGCTTTATTTGACTAATGATCATTTAGTGGGATGAATATAAGCATCAACCGTTGAGATAAAGCTTTAAGTGATTTTATGTTTGGTCCAGGCCAAAGTTGATATGTTGCAGTCTTGGTGCTTGCGCACATAAAGGAACTTAGGAATGCACAGTGTACTTATTATATTCATTTAGGGGAAAGACTTTCGAAAACGAGAAAATGTTGAAAGTTACTAAAATTTTTACTTCCTCTGGAATATCCTTTTAGAGGCATCGCTTTGTTGAGAACATAGTATTTTCCAATACCGTGTTGATTGTCATTGGTGATTTCACTTTAATGTACACTATTTAAACAAGTGATTTTAGGCTTGGCTCCAACATTGAACCAATAAAGGTCAAGGGTCAAAATGTTCAATCGAGTAAAACCAGATGTCAAAAATCAATAAATAAATGAATGAAGATATGTATATGTACTCACTATAAAAGTTCGTGAAAAAATAGATTTTTATTTTTTCACATCACTGTTCCCAAAGTAAATACAAATTATGTTCGTTGACTGAATTTATTACCTGTAACTTGCTTGAAAAACTACAATGTATGAATGATTTTCTTTTTTCAAATTGAAAATTGTTTTAGTTTATAGAAAATTTGAGTATAGCATTATTGTACTTATAATGAAATACAATCGGTTATGCTCATTGCTCACTAAGTAGAAGTAAAAGAATAAGTAAACAAAGACAGTGAACATTAAGTTAAACATGGAAAATTGGCTTTGCCGGTTGACTAAAACAATAAATAATGACAATGACAAATAAGCGCACGCGCGTATATGTGTTGGGGGTTTAATTGTTTCTGACTCAATGATACTATGACTTGATATGTTTAAATCAATGCTATTATAACTGGGCTTGCTAATGATAAGTTTTGTTATCAGGGAATGCATACTTGCATAGTATCTTTGGTGTTGAGGTATGGTTCAATTTTAAATGTGAAAGAGTCTAGCTATTCTATATGTTCAATACATCTTTTTTAACATACTGTATTTCTTGTACCGAGCAGCAAATGCAAAAATTGTGGACAAAGGACTTTGAATTTGCCACTTCTGGGGGAGGTTTCCATTCTGTCTTTTGTAGTCTTGATATTCTGTGTGGTATTTGCTGTTGTGTGGGCTGCAAATAGGAAGGCATCTTACTCTTGGGTTGGCCAAGACATCCTTGTAAGCTATTACCTATTTATCTTCTCTAATTTTGTTCTTATCTGCATTTTGTATTGTGAAGACTCCCATTGTGTATGCTGAATTGGCATGCTTGCACTCTTGCACCTTATCAGTCAATTATATAATAGAAATCAGTAATTACCATTTCACTCCTTGAATCTTGCAAATGGCGCATATTTTCCAGATGAAACTCACACTATCTTTTACATTATATAAAAGTTTTACTAAATTCAAAATATTTATAAGATAACATGCCATTGCCTTTTTAATTTTATGTTGTCTGTACAGCTTCTATGTGGAGACATGTTTGTGCTTTCATGTGTATTTCTCTATTTTTTCATTATATAGAGATACAGATCAAGAACTCCTAATAAAATATAAGAAAACAAATTTAAAAACAAAATCTCTTATGCATTGCATTCTCCCAGCTGAGAACAACTAAATAGAGGAACATCGTTAAATTCCTTAGATGTAGAAGCCCATAAAGAAGCCAAAAAATTTGCTTTCTCCAATTAAATAGGCTGATGTAACATGGGAAGCTGTGATATTGGCTTTTTTTGGGCAGTTTGGACCAAAAGGAACTCGCCAAATTTTTGAAGAAAATAGGGAAAATAAAATCTAAGTATCTAAATGTCAATTTAATACATATGCAGTTATTTTACTTGTATATGAGATGTTACCATATAGTCTTCAACCATCTCCGTGGAAGAGTTACTTCAGAAAATGCTGGAATTTTCATTATATCTTAAATCCAGGACTTCACCTGTTTTTATCCCTAATAAAAGCACAACATAAATATGACATAATTGAAACAATATATAAGAGTATAATGCAATCTAGTACAGTGGATGTGTTTGGGCTTGTTTACGGGCAGTGGCGATGATTTGTGGTTGTGTCATATTTTACAGGTATCGACACTTGCTGACTGTGAGGTGAGGGTAAGGGTAAGAGTAAGGGGGGTTAATGTTTTTATTCGCTCTTTCTTTACTTTTCTCTTGTTTTTTGCTTCTTTTAGTTGATTTTGGAGGGTAACGGAGCAGCTAAAGTACCCCTCATAATAAAAATCCAAGTGCAAGGCATGTGCCACTATGACAGAAAAAATAACAGCTCCCATCCAATGGGGACCCATGTGCTCAATTTTGCAAAGGTTTTGGATCTAAAGGTCTCAAAACATTGAATGGGGAACCCAAGTTCTATATTTCAAAAAGGTTGGAGAACCCAACTGTTATTTCCCTTATGATTTTAATTTATGGGGTTTGGAATGGTTGGTTTGGATTTAGTGTGAGTCAGTGGTTTGACATTTAATTTGTTATAGGGCCTGATTATATTTCTGTAATATAACTGTTCCAGAAGCAGTTAAACACAAAAAAAAAATGGTAGTTCAGCACAAACTACACCTAGAATTCAGTTGTTTTCAACTCTTCTAAATTCACACTCATAGATTGTGTGTGTGTGCGTGCGCGCGCACGTGGAGGGAATGCTCAAATCTATATGGAAGAAGGGGGAAGCTGGGAGTAGTAACCTGTAAGGAACGAAAGCTGTCCATAAATGCCTGCTCCCATTTGTTATGTTTTGCGATGCAAAGGAGGATGTTATTTTTATTGCGTCATGGCTGAAAAATTTCTTTTAATGCTATTTTAGTGAGCTTTGATTTTTTCTTACTTCGTTTTGTCCATGGAACAACCAGTTTTTGCTATTTATATGTCTTTGTATGGTATTTTGACTACTTATTCAACAATTTTTAATCTGCACTTGCACTATTCCTTCTTTGGGGATCATTTTTCATAAATTTTGTTCTTGAATATTGAGGGTCTCTTGTCAGGGTATTTGTTTGATGATAACTGTCTTGCAATTGGCTCAATTACCAAACATTAAGGTATGTGGAGTGATCATACTTGATCAGTTGGTCTTTACATGACTAACTTTTTGTATTGAATCCACTTATAATTGCTTTTGTCTCTAGGTTGCTACAGTACTTCTGTGTTGTGCATTTCTTTACGACATCTTTTGGGTCTTCCTATCTCCTTTTATATTCCATGACAGCGTTATGATTGAGGTGAGCATGTTTTTCTCAATTCTCCATCTTTCCTTTTTCTGTAACGTTAAGCAGCATTCAGTTTTTCCAAGCAGAAGACACTTCCTATAATGTTTGGCCTTCAAACTTCAATCTTGCTAGAAAATTTAAAACACGTGTACTTTAGTGCTATACATTCCATACCTTGGTTTGGATTAAAACTAACTAAGCAACAAGTTAAGTGAGAGAAACTAAAAATAAGTAATGATCAGTAGAATAAATTGAACACAGACTTCTAGAATGGATATCTACAAGTTCCATCACGCTAATCATCCGTGTCAAACAATGATAAAATATGTCAGGAGTTGAGAGGATATGAGAAAGATTGCAACAGACATTTTATAAGATTCTATGACCAGAAACTTTATTCTTTTTGGCAATCACACCTTTCTATACATTATAGAACTTTTTAATTGCGGATTATAATTCCCACATGACTTCTGACCCCATGGCGTTTGCTAGAAATCAATGAATCTTTCAACATAAATTGATATCTAGATGAAAGGTATACTATTTATTAAAGCACCTAGTGAAGGCATTTTTTTTTT